ACCAAGCATATTCGTAGGCACGATCCTTCCATTCAAATGTATTGGCTACTCTTTGCCTAGGCCTAGGCCCAGCAATATCTTCATCCATGTCGTCGTCGCTGCTGTTTCCCTGTCTATCCGACATATCATCTTCATCATCAGGTTGTGTAAAATTGTGGATTAAATTCTCTTCTTCGACGTCGCTTTCTGCGTCAAAAACTAAGTCCAGCGCTTCTTCGGCTGTGTAGTGTTGAATGGCGGCCATTTCCAAATCGCGATGTCAAAATATTAGTTATGATTTTCAAACGATAATTGTAGAGAATTTTTAGTTAGCACAAATCGAGTTTATACGATAATCAGCAAGAACTATGACCTCTTGACCCAAGCCAAGAACAATGAAAGGCTTGCAGTTACTAGAAATAGTAAAGTTCGTGTTGTAAACAGAAGGTATTTTTCGGGTTTTTTAACTTTTTCCGCGGTGAAAATTTCCGCCCTTCGCAGACGCTCCCTAGGGAGTTTGGGCGGAAATCACCGCCCTTGGTACGAACAGGGTTAAGATGCAATGATATTTGCAATACAGCTTTACCGAATAAATATGAGATTTCAGCAGTTTGGTAACCATGCTTACTATGTAGTCATGTTCATATTAATAATATTGCAGCATAGGTAATGTGTTTTTTATTGGTTTTTAGCAGCTATGTGCAATTTGCTGTTCACACACAAGTAACAGAAATCTCAATTTCTTTAAACACTTAGTACTATATTTATTTACAAAATCACTTTGTGGCATTACAGCCAATAGCATATTTACAATACTGTACTGGTGTTAAGCAGAAATTGCAGCGGTCTGGTTCATTAATTGCAGTACCCAGTCATCTAAATGTAGATTGTAAATTCATATGCAGGTGGGTGGTACATTACTCAAATGGCACAAGTGATTCAGACAAATTTCTCAATGCACAACATATTCTGGCAATCTTATCTATAGCAGGATCATCTTGTCCCTCCCTACATATAACAGTTTCGATGGGCAACGTTGCTTGGAAAATCCTATATTTCCTACGAACAAGTCCAATCACTCTCTCTACATGAATTCGGACATTAGCAATTTTCCTAGTTTCCTCTACTTCTAAAGCAGAGAGTTGGCTTTTGCCTCGAGTAAATGCTGGTATAGCTAGCTTGGCACAAACAAAACCAACACTGTCTGCAATATCAAAGCCCCTGTCTGCTAGCACTAGATCACCAGGGAGCAGGTTATTCAGGAGAGAACAATTCTCAGTAATATGTTTATCACTAACACGGCCGCCCCATGAATTCGATATAAATGAAATAACACCCTGTGGAGTGATACCAATGAGAAACTTAACTGTATTATGGTGCTTGTAACTAGACCAGGTCATAGCGCGAGCTGATAAAGTGGATGGCCTGTCAATAAAAACTTCAAAACAATCTATAATTACAGCCACTTTCTTACCAAATGACTGTCTAAAGGAAATTGGCATAGTTTTTGCAGGCACTCCCTTTCAGGCCAATGAATCAAATGAGATAACCTAACATCCATAACTGGCAGCCAACGATAAAAAATGCGGCTCGTAGTAGATACAGATATCGAAAATCTGTATGCCAAGTCCTGGAATGAGGCATTCAATCTCAAGCACATTAGCACGATCAATAGCTCCTGAAATTTTGTTAAAACATTGTTATGTGTTCTTGCAACACTTGGAGCTACAAAGTTGTATACAGCCATCAGGATATTAAAATCAGGAAGACCTGTGAAATACCGCACTTTGTTACTGTCGTTTTTGAACAAGTCCACATTTAAGGTCAAATCTGCAACTTTCTTGCGAAGACTGTAGATTTCATCCTGAGCTTTTTGTAGGTTGTTCTGAAGTGTGCTGATTTCAGCTACTGACAATTCTGTCTGGCACTCTTGGTTCATGGTTCCTGTTGCTGAGTCAGTTTCAAAAGTTTCCATACTACTGTCAGTTTCTATTTTAAAAAAAATATATTAAAATGAATACAACATTAATCATAAATTATAGAACATAAAATTATTAAAAATAACCACCAGTTTTTAACTGAAATACTGGATTTATTAGGAGAATAACCCATACATATCATCACTGTCATGAATTGCATATGGTGTTGTCTGTGATGTTTGTGTAAGCCATTCATTGTTGGAATATTTCACAATTATGTAATGACTTACCAGCACCAGGAAATGCATCATCAATTATTTCACCATCACCGACACCACTAGCTGCACTTATACACCGTCCTCTGGATTTTCGGTCCCTTAAACGTTTGCTGCGCTCAATAGAGAGCTTGATGGATGTTTCTGAGATATTTTCATGTCCCATCTTGAGTGTTGGAGCCCAATCTATGTTTGTTTCGTCATAAATATATGACGGTTTTCCTATTACAAAAACAAAAAAAAATACTTTTACTAACAGTAATACATGTTAGTATAGGCGTAGGCCTAGGAAAATCCAGGCTTAATGACCCATAGGACTAATAATAATGAATAGAACTAGGCCTAGCCTAGATTACTGGTGTAGTTCAGGTTAGCCTAGCCTAGACGAGGCCCTAGCTCGTGTGTTTTACTTTGGAGTGGTACGATTAAATTAACAACAAAAGTCAAGAAAAGTATCAAACGTTATGTTCACAAGACTAATGTGATCATTCAACACAAACAAAATTGTGATAAGGCTAGGCCTAGGCCCCTAGTTCCGCACTTACCGCTCACGAAGTCATCGCTACACACGCGAATGTTTGGGTAGCTCGACTCCTTGATGTCGGACCGACACAGATTTTCTATCCATTTTCTCTGCCGTTTTCTGGTCAACTCCTCCTGTACTTTTCCTTGTTTCGTGACTATAGACGATAATTTATGGAATGTATACTGCTTTGCTGTCTGTATCTGAGGAAACATAGACTCCGTTCACGTGGGTCCCCTCCTGCGTTGTAGCATCAAATCCGATGGACAACTGATTGGCTTCCAACATAAATTTCGCAGACTGGTAGTCTGATACAGCTCCTAGCTCTCGGGCCATATTTTCCACCGAGCTTCTTTTTGGGGCATTGCTTACATTTTGTTGAAATGCACTACCACATTTTATAATGAGCTGTTCTATGTGCTTGGTTGGGACTCCTAAATCTAGCATATTAAAGACAAGCTCCCTTGTTTGATGACTGTATGCACTGCCTTGTTTACAATCCCACTCGCGTGTGTGCTGCATCAAGGCTTCATTCAACTTCTCCATTCAACTAATATAGTGTTCTCTTGTTCTTTAAACTGTTTATTCTTTTTCAACTCCTCATTTTCTTTGAGTACCTTATCGTACATGGTTTTTTTTAACCATTTGTTCTGTCCTCTTTTTTTCATAACTTAATTGCCTTTGCAGATCCACGGTTTGCTTAGGCGTGATCGCCAAATTATTCCAAACGACAAATCTGCGTCCAGACGTGTTTTCTATTGTTCTACCAAAAACGCGTCTGAAAACACCATTTGGATAGGGCACCGTTTGGACGCCATATTCCGTTTGGGCTTTGCTCCTCCACTTTTAATACGGCCGAGTGCATGCATCGTCAAACGCGTCTAGACGCTCTCTTGGCGTCCAAATGTTCACCCGCTTTGCGAACGTCTTGCATACAAGTGTTTACCCGCTTTGCGAACGTCTTGCATACAAGTTTAAATCTACCGCAAAGGCCGGTAAAATCATTAAGCCTGGTCATACAACTATATCGGAAATATTTAGACCACACCATTTGCTGCAAATTTAAAGAACATCGTTAACACAGTAGGCCTACTTACATCTTCTTGCCTGAGATTTTTTTCACTCTGGTCTCCGTTTTTTGGCTCTCTAAGAATTTTCACACAGTTCAACACTCTATTTTTAGTATATGACCTCCCTTGACTATCAATAGACTGGTTGTGAATGCAAAATTCTCAACTGTCTATTTTTAGTAACTGACCCGGCACTATAAATAGACTGGTTGTGAATGCAAAATTCTCAACTGTCTATTTTTAGTAACTGACCCGGCACTATAAATAGACTGGTTGTAAATGCAAAATTCTCAACTGCTCTATCTTATCCCCCTGCACTACAACGGCTGTGCCGTTTAAATTGCATCGGCTAAGTTCGTCTGCACTGAACATGCAGTCAACCAACTGCCTAATAAATGACGTCGCAGTCGTACTGCCGGCCAACGACCGACGGTATCGCCCGTCGCTAAGGGGACACATACCCCCGATCATTACAATGCCACTTGCATTCGGTACTAGCTTCGGTGTTGGTGCAAGAAGCAGCGACGATACTGGTTTCGGCGCTGGCGGTTGTGGTGCGGCTGACTGTGTAGTTGACCTTGCCAATAATTGCTCTACTTTTTCCTCCAACAGTTGTTGCCTGCTTAGCATTCCCTCCCACAAATTTTCTTGTCTGGCTATCATCTCCATGTACATAGTTTCCTGCCTTGCAATTAGCTCCTCGCAAAACTTCTGTTGTCTGGCTACAATATCCTCTAGTTGATTGCATTTGCAGTCACTACGAGCTGTTAATAAGATAAAATGAGATATAATATACATGATAAATACACGATAAAATGATAATAATATTGATAATAAATTTATAAATAAACATACGATTTACTGTAATAATAATAATAATAATAATATACAAATTAATAACAATAGTAATAAACATACAAATTACTGTAATAATAATAATAATAATAATAATAATAATAATAATAATAATAATATTAATAATAATAATAATAATATACGAATATTTTGCATCTTTTGTACAGTATTATGAGTAAGACTCATTTTGCCACGACAGCTCACAAATGAAAGGCAATGCTTGTGTAGATTTTAATACAACTTAAAAGTAAACTTACGATAAACCGCTGTGTTGTCCAGCAGAGTGCCAATGGTTGATCAACAAATTCTTGGATGCTGTCATCAGGGTTGGAAGTCTGGATATTTTCCGCTCCTTTTCTGGGTCTCTTTAGAGGTGGCTGTGGTGGTTCATCAACGTCATCTTCCATGTCACCTGTTTGGTCTACAAGCTTCTCGGTAGATTGCAATTCTGATGTGTCTGATTTACCATCTGTTTCAAAATAAACATAAATAATTATTGATTTGAATATAGGTCTAGTAATAAAAAAAAAAAAAAAAAAAAAAAAAAATAATAATAATAATAATAATAATAATAATAAATACTTTAATAACAGCAAAAAACAGCATCATAAATGGTATGCAAATATAGTGAAATAATGAAAAAAGATCTCTCTACATACAAAACAGTAACTAACAGCATTATCGATAACAGAATTAAAAGTAATAACAAATATTTTAATATAGGTCTGTATAGTAAATTGAAAATAGATTTTAATAAAAGAAAAAAAAAATCTTACCAAGTCCACCATTCTTCCAAAACTGTTCATCCAATGCGATCAACTCAGCAGGATCATCAGACAGACCCAAGATGCGGCACTTCAACTTCTTCCCATCACAAACAATATCAACTATGTTATCAATCACAACATCACCATGCAGTTTCTTCGATTTAACTACGGCAGTACTTTCTTCGAAATCAAAATAGACTAGTGCTTCCAGTAGCAAAACGATCTGGGATATGATGGATGTTTAATTTTGAACCAGTTTATATAACTGGATGCCGCCTTGATCATTTTCCCTTTGTTTAATTTTAGCATCAGTTCCCATTGTTGCAGGGCTTTCAGCTAAACGCCCCACTCGCCTACCGATGCACAAAAGGATTGGCATTTCTATAGGCCCACTGGGTGAAAGAACGCCGTAAAATAATGAAAAAAGCGCTTTTATATTTAAAGGCAATTAGCGGACGGTACACAAATATTAATTTTTAACTTCTTATGGCCTTCTAAAAGGTTGTGTGGTTAAACCAATCAAAATCCAAACTTTTTTTTGGTGACATCCACCTACAGTTTTTATAAACCACGAATTTGTACCTCTAAACAACATTCTTCCGAGAGTTGACTTACCATTAAGATTATTTTGAAATGCTGCAACCTGACTTCACGTCCAAATTGGCTTCAGGTAGTTACTTGCGCAAAAAGAAACCAAAACCTGTATCATCTCGAGCCGCTGGTAGACCATCAGTTGTATCTGAGTTTCCACAAATTGTAGATGTTGCGAAAAATTTTGTAGAAAATAACGGGTTCGAAGGACACCGTCGAAGGCAAACCACGACAGGGCTCTGTGGAACTGGCCTAAAGCACCTTCGTGAACATCTGCTGGAAAAGTTGACGGATTGAAAGAGAAACATCCGACATTTGGTAAGTGTGCACACATCACACATATGGTCATTTCTACAGCGATCGGGTGAAATACGTAATGCAACTCAGTGCCATGCATCCAAACAACTGTAGTATTTTTTCGGTCGACAACAAGAATAAAGTGAAAATAATCATGCATGTGGCCTGGCGCTGCTACTGCAACCTACAACAAAAACGATAACACAAATTAATTAGCAATGGAAACGTCGGCGCTTTGTTTAGCATCTCAATCCCGACCGACCTAGTTTTGTCTGCAGAGCGGCGTACAAAACGTATTCCAATGGAACTTGTTATGAATATCAGCGCGTACGCCATGAACCTCCCAGGCACGTTGTCGTGATGCGATCGGCCGTGGGAACTGGTTTGCAAAAACATAATGTAGGCATACAAAAGCACCGTATATATCATTTATTCAAACATTAACACGTTTTGAGGGCTTTCCCATGCCTTTCCCCCGAAGTTTCAGATAAATGTGTATGGTGTCAACAAAAAAAGGGAGTAAAGCAATATAAAACATGCGGGCAAATAAATTCAGAAACGTAAAAAATGTGTAAGGCCTAATAATTTTGTATTTATTTTGGTATACAAAATATTACACACCCATAATAGTTATAACAAGGGAAATAGAATTCGTAATAATAATATTTGTAAAATATGCAGGTACCTGTATTAATTTTTAATTGTTTGTATTTTTTTAAATACACAACAGAAGAAATAGGGATCACAGAAGAGCATGGGTGATAACGTTACAAATATTATAAAACTGGTATGTCTATATAATAGATGAACCTACAACACATTAGAGCTTCATATAAGCCACGTGTATATATAAGAAATAATAGAAGCCATATTTGTCGAATATAATTAATTTATTCGCACTCAGTAGGCCAGCCGACCGCGCTAGACAAGGCAATAGATAATCATCCAAACGATTAACAAGCGTCCAAACGTTTCACCGGCGTCCAGACGCGAGTCGTAATTGAAGCATGTAGCATTTTAATATTCATAAAGAGAGGTAATTAGATAGGTCAATTTCTCAGACGCGTTTGATATAGTGTGTTGACCTAGACGCGTTTCTGCCGTCCTGAATAATTTGGCGATCGCGCCTAAATGGTCCAACACATAAAATAATCAAAAAACAATAAATTATGTAAAAATATTGATGTTTATTCATTTTAAAAACATTAAACAGAAGTAAAACATGAATTTTACTTTACATGAGCCAATATTATTATAATTTTAATGTATAGATACACAAAAAATTAATATATCTCCTTTAATAATGGTTAGGCCTACTTCTATAGGCGCGTTACAAGGGTAATATCTTGACAGCATACAGTCTTTGCTCATTCAAAATCATACCCATATTTAGAAACACAGTCTGTACAAATAAATTTATACATTTCCCCCCTCCATGATGTGCAATCATCACGGAACCATGTATTACAAGATCTACAAGCTGTCCATGATTCGTCTTCGAAATATGGCATATTACATTTCGCGCATGTATAATCATCACTATCATCATCATAATCATCATCATCGCTTACAGGAGATACAGGTCTGTTGGTCTTTCTTTTACTCTTTTTTGCTTTCTCTGTTTCTGCATTTGTTTCTCTGCTTTCTGCATTTGTTTCTCTTCAATGAGTCTTTGTTTTTCATCTGCTTTCCTTTTCCGCTCATTTTTTCGCATTTGTTTTTCCATCGCTTCCTTTTCTTGTTCTCTTTTAATTCTACAAGGAACTCATCCTCAGTTAATACGCGAGACTTTGTTGATTGCTTTTCTTGTTTGGGTTCAAGATTGGCGTGACAAAAACAGTTGGTACTGTTAACAGCTTACTTAGTCGGTCATCACTGGCTAATGAGGTGTTACTGTGGCGTTGCTAGCTGTAGCAGATGTTGATGCTACACTGGGGTCATCGGCTGTAGGTAATGTTGATGCTACAGGAACGTCATTAGCTGTAACTGCTATACTGCGTACGGCTGCGTTTTCGGCTACATTACCATCACCGTTAGTTGGTGCTACGGGGTGAGCATATCTATTTGCGGTTGTAGCAAGGGCCCATGCCCTGGACGTTGCGTAAGCTCCATCAGGAACTGCTCCTTGATTAAATGGACAGACTCCAGTCCCTCTGAAGCCGTTCACTGAATTAGTTACTGTTGCTGTTTGGTAATAAGCTCTACCAAACAGCTCAGAGAAGTCATGTCGTGTAACTACCTTACCAGGATTTCTTGCCATAAAGGCTGTACACTCTTCGTTATATGCAGTCTTAAGAGGTCCAAAGAATGAACGATCAAGAGGCTGTAGCCAATGTGTTGTGTACGGAGGGAGGCACAAATTGAAAATGGTGTGAAAATTCCACCATTAATCTTAGGAGATGGAGCATACCCCTTGCTTGGAAATTTGATGCGCCCCTTTCCAAACCGGCCAAATAAGCCACGAGAGCAGACGCGATTTAACTACAAACTGTCACAATGTAGAGTAATTGTAGAGCATGCATTTGGGCGGTTGAAGGGCAGATGGCGGATCTTGTTCAAACGCAATGAGCACGAAATTTACAAACTTCATCCAGTAGTGCAAACTTGTTGTACTTTACATAACATATGTACAAGTAATCATGTGCCATATGCAAATAGATGGACAGATGACGAGGTTCGGTCTAGCCTATCAGGCCAACCCGCCAGGGTTAATCAAATGGTAGAGGGCGCCAGAGCCGAGCAAGTGCCCAGTGCTTTGATAGCAGAGTTGCTGAAAGCCGATTAAGTTAAACTGATAGTTTGTGTTGGTTGTACAGTATTGCAGTATTTTTCTATATACATAATAAATTTTGATTTTATCTGGAAAAGTAGTCTTTTTTTTTTCTGTTGCCAAATTAAATATACAGTTGAACTTGCATAACTCGATTACAAAATTATGTTGGAAAATTTACCTTACATAGAAAACTCAATAATTTAGTAAAATCCGATCGAATTAGGCAAGTTTAACTGTAATTTACTGTAGACATGCAATATCAAGTATTTTTCTAGTGACCATTGACAGAAATCTGAGCTTCGACTACAAAACTTGAAATTAGGAGACGTTGCCAGGAGAAATGAACCGCAAATAGTTGAAAATTTTCATTTTATTCATTTATTTATTTTTTGATAACATGCATTACAAGTACTGTAAAAATATTGCCAGAATTAAACACACTACTATTTAACATACTACACGATACTAAAATTTAACATTTACTACTTGAATAATATTCATGTAAAAATATATAT